TCGCTCCGCTGCTCAACGGGACGGTATCGCCTCACTGGCAGGCGCTAGAAGTAGTTGTGCTGAAGTGTACCAATACTGATGTCCCTTCTCGCAGCACGTGCTTCATCTTCCGCCACCCGCGCCTGCTCGTGCCCTACAAGGCCCTGTCGGAGCCCTTCGCGCCGGCCACCTGGGCGGCGGTGGGGCTGGCCGCGGTGGCCGCGTGCGCCGTGCTCGGGGCCGTGCGCCGCTGCGAGACGGCGCCGGCCGTCGGCGCGGAGGGTGGCGCGCTCTCGGAGGCCGCCGTCGTGGTCGTGGGCGTCCTGAGCCAACAAGGTGCGGACGATTAGCAAGTCCACGACGCCGCGTTGCCGAGCAGACTGAGAGACAGGGACCCACGTGCTCCGGACAGGCAGCGCGCTGGACAGCAGGCTGGTGTCGGGGCGCGCAGTGCTCCTGTCCGGCCTCCTGCTGTCCGTCATGCTGCAGAGCTTCTACACGTCCGCCATCGTCACCTCGCTGCTGACGCCCATCCCCCGCACCATCCGCACCGTGCACGACCTCATGCGCAGCCCGCTCAAGGTGGGCCTCGAGGACTACTCGTACAACAGGGCCGTCTTCCCGGTGAGTCAGCGAGTCACAAAATCAGTGTTCTCCCTCCAACAAAAAATCAGGAAAAATCAGGAAGAAATCGGGAATACATCAAGAAAAATTATAAAAATCTGTGTACATTTGAATTTATAGTGAAGTACCCCTCTCGTCCTTATTCCTGACCGGGTCGGACTGTCCGCAGAGCTCGGCCGACCCCCTCACGGCGCAGCTCTACCGCGGCAAGATCCTGCCCGCCTGGCCGGAGGGGGGCTTCTTCTCGGTGTCGGACGGCGTGCGGCGAGTGCGCCGGGGGGGCTTCGCCTTCTACTCGGAGGACTCCTCGCTGTACACGCCCATCCAGAACACGTTCAGCGACGACGAGAAGTGCAGCCTGTCCGAGGTGGAGCTCAACCCGGCCTTCGTCACGGCGGCGACCCTGGCCAAGAGCTCGCCCTACAAGGAGATCTTCAACCGCGGGTAGGCGGGGCGGGGGGCGTCATTCACTTCCTTAGCGCCGGGGCGCCAAGTCCCGACGGCTTCGGCCGTGACCTGGGCGTGGGGTACTTCACTCCAAAATATCACTGTGCACACTCCAAAACATTTTTAAAAAAGAAAAAATTCT